AAAACAATTGCATTAATCAGCATATTCTTTAACGCATTCATTAGTCAATATTCCAACGCATCTTGCACGTTATCTAGTAATCACTAATCGCTGTCCAACTTTCCGTAGTCAATCCAAACTTTCAAACAGTTAAATTTCTCACATGACATTTGGATTTTACTGTATCAATCATGAAAATGACAGAAAAAATTTGCTAAAATTTCACCGAATTTTTGTATTAATCCTAAAATTTTCAAAAGCTTACGGATAATGATGGTAAATACATCATTCCAAATAAACGGCTACGAAAATGTAACTAAACGGCATCGAAAAATTCGGTATCTTCACAGTTGAAAGCAACTCAAACATTTAAAAGCAATCAGCNAATAAAATAAAATTAAGTGGGCAAATAAGTACCTCAAACAGATAAAACAAAAAACTTCGCTGATGAAAAAATGAACGGAGATCGACTTCAAGAGAGCTACGCGCACATAACGGATGAAACGATGCAAAAAGTTCACAGAAAGTAATCGAACTCATTAAATCAATGCGATAAAGAAAGTTAACGTCATTCACAATACAGAAACACTAACGAAAATGATTCCCTCCTTTTTCAGATTCACTACAAACAATCGACCAAACGAGACTTGTGTAAAAAAATTCTTCATGAACTATCAAAACGACACTGCGAAATACATACAAATAAAGTTACTAGAAGATCTTCGAGTAGTAATATATGATGAATAATTAATGAAAATTAAAGTGAACACATAATAAACCTACAAACAAAACTGTGAGCAAAATAATTCGATTCATAGTTGAAGATAAATAAAATTTTGAAGAAATACGCCAAAACCAATGTAAAAAAGAGTCACACTGCTGATGAAAAATTGACACATGCCTACTGAAGACCAAAACCACGGCTATAGCTGATCGCCTTGAGAAGACGCTCTTTGGTCACTTCAAGATCGCAGTAATCCGGTAAAAGCATTATATTGTAACATGTATGCGCTGTTGGCAATCTGAAATTCTCGGTTATTACAAGACATTCAATATTCAGTCAATCACAATCCAAATATTTGAGTCTCGAGCTTAAATCCCCTCCCCGGCTAAAATCAACGAATCGAATCGAAATGTTCAAATCCTCGTCAACTAAC